AAACAGATACAGATACAGATACAGATACAGATACAGATACAGATACAGATACAGATACAGATACAGATACAGATACAGATACAGATACAGATACAGATACAGATACAGATACAGATACAGATACAGGTACAGATACAGATACAGATACAGATACAGATACAGATACAGATACAAATACAGATACAGATACAGATACAGATACAGATACAGATACAGATACAGATACAGATACAGATACAGATACAGATACAGATACAGATACAGATACAGATACAGATACAGATACAGATACAGATACAGATACAGATACAGATACAGATACAGATACAGATACAGATACAGATACAGATACAGATAACTATCTGTATGTCTATATATCTACATCTATATCTATAAGGAATTCGAACAATTTCATAAATTTAATTGAATTTATCAAAAATCATAAATTAACTTAATTTTTTAAAAGACCTACATATTTTAGCACATTACGCAAGAGCAGGTGTTGTTGTTGTCGCTGCTGCTGTTGCTGTTGCTTCTGCGCACGCGCATCGCTGACCAAGACTTCGGCAGCAACTGTTGCTGTTGTGGTCGCTGCTGCTGCCGCCGTTGTTGCCGCCAGTTGGACACCAAAAATTATTAACTAAAAAACACAAAAATTGCTGCAAAGATTGCTGCGAAATTGACATTTGGTCGTTAATGTGGCCGGGCCAAAAGTGTCTGTCCAGTTGGTCCGTCTTGGCCATGTGTCTGTTGGCTGGCCATTGGCCCGTTTGCCTCGATTGCTTTGTTGCCGCCGTTGCCGTTGCATGCAACTGCCAATAATTCAGAGCTTTTAATAAAAATGTTGCTGCTGCTGTTGCGGTTGCTGCAACAACAGAAACATTGGCGGCGGCATTCATGCGGCGACTGTACAAGATTTATATCATAATTTATTTATTAATTTCATTAAGTAAATTTTATTTGATGAATGACGTTGTCCGCATTCGCTTTTTCTTTTTTTTTTTTATTCGTGCTAAGCAGTTGCCGTTGGCGGCTGCCGAAATTTTGATTATTGTTGCTGCAACAGCAACAAACGAGCCAATAAATAATGTCGAAAATTACATTTTACAGCAGACAGAGTGTTTAATGGGCCTTTGCCAAGTGAGGAGCCTGTCGGGGTTTCAATCGGGAAGTCGTTGAGTCTAAAGTTGGGTGGCTAAGACTGAGCAATCTCTCGGGATGTAGAGATATCGAGAAAAGATTTTAGTTTGTGTTAGCATAAGGAAAATTGAATTTAGTTTAGTATGAAATGTGCATGTTTTCGAAAGCATTTTAAATTCATTGAGTATTTTAAGAATACTTTGAATCAAATTTAAACGAAAAATCTATTTTACTTATCTACACTATTCCTCACTTTTCATTTAACTCTTAAAGCTTTAAATAAAGCCAGACTATATTTAAAATTTTTAAAGCTCGACTCAACACTTCAATTCAATTTTATTTCAATCTTCGTTTAAGCATTACGTAATGCACTGCGCACTATTAAAGAACAATAAACATAAAAATTAATAATAGTTTGAGTAACATTTTTTTTTTTTTTTTAAATTTTCGCTGTGAGTCTGATTAAAAATGCATTGAAATTTATTCGCAATAATAAAACTAAAATGCAGTCGTTTATAAATTTGTTGGCCAAATAAACGAGTAAAAATAATCGAACAGTTTAATGTTAAAATGCTTTAAGTTTTGCGCCATTGCTGCCACAACCACAGCAACAACAACAGCAATGGCCACAACGGCACAACAACAACAATAATTACAACAAACAAAAATCAAATGCCCACAAAACTGACGACTAAAATCAATTGCGACGTTAAACTTTAAGACCCCATCAGGCGACTGTCGCAGGGTGGGAGGTAGGGGAGGCGGTGGTCAGGGCGGGGGCTTTGTTTTGTCTCGTCTAGCTACCAAAATTGAAGGCTTTTCAGCTGGCCGGGCTAACAGCAACAACAACAACAACAACAGCAAAGTTGCAACGTTTGGAGCGTTGCCAAATTCAATGGATTTTACTTTTCGCTTTTCAAAAACTCAACGCTTGCTGCTGTCGTGACCAATTAGTGAGCCGACCCATTGGACGCGGGTGCAGACACAGCAGCTGGAGCGGCAAAAGCGCAGAGAGGGCGCAGGTGAGTTTGCTTGGTTACCTGGTCGGTCGCACAGGCGCACGTCAGCCAGCCAGCCAGCCCAGGCACTTGCCAAAAGGAATAGAGACAGCAGCAGCCCAGTCGCAGTCTGCGCACTTTACATTCAAAAATATTTTGTGACACAAAACGTTTGTTGTTGCAGTTGCAGTTGTTTGTTGTTGTTGTTGTTGATGTTGCTGTCATGGTTGCTAGTGAATTTAAGCTGAGCATTTGCTTATGTTTCTGTGCCTGCGTCGAATTTGTGGGGCGTGTGCGAGCCAGATTCCATAATACCCTACCAGAAGGCACACTAGATGGCTTTAAGCTTCCACACGAAATCAAACTAAGTCTTATCAATGTAAATAATCATAATCAAACTAAGATTTCATATTGACATCTCCAAATATGTAAAAATAGCAACAGCAGGAGCAGCAGCAGCAAATAGAATTGGTATAGAAGAAGAAACAGGCGATACAGTTAAAAATATTTATAGACACAGGAGACAGTGATTGCTGTCAGCTTCAAAAAATCTGTCCTAGAAACAGTCGTCATTGTACAAAGCAGCAGCAATTACAGCTACCACATTAAAGCCACTTTAAGCAACAAATAAGGGTCGTTGAAATTTAATATTTTAATTTTGATTATTTTCATTTTTTATTATTTTTGCATTAGAACTTAGTAATAAATGAGCATTAACCGCTTTCAACTTGGTTGTTAGAATATAACATTTCTTTAGAGTCATTTTTATTCTTTTTAGAAGCTTATTGCATAAAAAGCTGAAAGCAAATTAAAAAATATCCTAATGAGTTCTTCTGATTTGCAGCCGTGTTGATAAGCCTTTACTTATTTTTACAAACAACTCATAAGTTCTTATCATGACGTATTGCACCTGTCCAAAATTTGGCTATTTAAGTTAGACGATTTCTTAGACTTCTCCTTAAACATTTTACAATTCGCCATGCAAAGTCTACATCATAGATGTCAGTTGCTCCTAGTGGCGGTAATTTTCTGTCTGTGTAATGTGGAATCTAAGCCCAGCCAAGTGGAACGCATTATCAATGGTGAAAATGCAAGACCCAAACAATTTCCTTATCAAGTCTTTTATGATATTGAAATAAATAAACAATGGAAAATGATGTGTGGTGGAACTATAATCGGTAAGAGGACGATTCTGACAGCAGCTCATTGCTTGGATGGGAGTTATGGCGATTTGTAGGTAAAAGCTGACTAAGTATAAGAATCGTTCTTTCTAACACTTTATATTTATTTGAACAGCGAAAGGATAAAAATTTACGTTGGAGCCGTGGATAAAAGTAAGAGCACAGAAACTGGACAACAAATTGTGATCGTGGAAGCTGGCAGCTATGTGATTCATGAAGATTGGGATTTGAGCAAAATGAGCAACGACATTGCTTTAATTAAACTACCAACTGATCTGGAATTCAACGAGTATATTCAACCAGCTAAATTGCCAGAGCCCAATAACCTTTATGCTGACAAAACTACTATTGTCTCCGGTTGGGGCATAGTTGGTTTGAATGGTTTGTATTAATATCGACATTCTGTAACTTTTCTAATTCTCTAACTCTCTCTAATTGCCTAACTTTTAAATATTTTCAGGTTTCGTAACAACTGAGCATTTGCAATATACGAAGGTGAAAACAATATCAAATGAAAAATGCAAGCGTATATTCCGTTTTGATATGAAGTTTTTATCGCATTGGCTATGTGTCGCACCTAATGAGAAAAGGACATGTAAAGGAGACTCGGGTGGTCCATTAGCCGAAAGAAACCCTGATGGCTCTAGCACTGTGATTGGTATCGTATCGTTTAAAACAAGTCTATGCTCTGCTAAGGTTCCGACTATTTTTACTCGGGTTTCATATTTCTTAAACTGGATTGCTCAGCATACTAATGAGCCATAAAAAAATATTTACAAATACCATATGTAATATATACAAAATAAAATTTAATATGAACATTTAAGGTGTGCGTCAACTGTTGTTTATTTCTAGTAATATTTAAAACCCTGTTTCGTAAACTATAAAATACACAATATAAATATGGTAAAGCGATCCTCGCAGTTCTTATGAAAGTCATTCAATTTAGGTAGTATTAGGTTCAGGTCAGAAACAGCCGAATTGCCTCCAGTTCACAGTTTAAAATTATATATCGTACACACTTAATACTAGAACGAATGATAAGTATATTCAGATTTGAATTGGACAACGAGCTAGTTATTCCAAGCAATCCGAATAGTACGTTCGTCTGTGTGCCTCATCTTATTTTGTTCGTCCCAATAAAGTAAGGATTTGATGACGGTGTTTTCGGCTATAAAAATTTATCAATAAGAGTAAAGATATCTAATAAGTATTAGTCATGTAATTAATTAACAGTTTGCAATTTCTTGCTAGAATATTAGGTTTCTTTAAAGTCATTTATATTAATTACTTTAAACTAAATATATCCAATTGTGACATATTTTTTTAACTGACTCCAAGTTCTTTTGATTAGCAACATTGTTGCAAAGTTATTATTTATTATTACAAATAACTCAAAAGTTGCCTGCCATAAGTCTTATCATAATGTATTGCACCTGTCAAGAATTTTTGCTATATAAGTTCCACAACTTCGTAACCATCTCATTATAACTTTTACAATTCACAATGGAAAGTCTTCATCGTAGATGGCAGTTGCTCCTTGTGGCGGTGCTTTTCTGCCTGTGTAATGTGGAATCTAAGCCCAGCCAAGTGGAACGCATTATCAATGGTCAAAATGCAAGACCCAAACAATTTCCCTATCAAGTCTTTTATGATATTGAAATAAATAAACAATGGTTTGAAGCTTGCGGTGGAACTATAATCGGTAAGAAGACGATTCTGACAGCAGCTCATTGCTTGGATGGGAGTCGTGGCGAAATGTGGGTAAATGCTGATTAAGTTAAAGAATCGACTTTTCTAACACTTTACATTTTTGTGTAATGCTAAATAAGACAACGAATAAAAATTTACCTTGGAGCTGTGGATAAAAGTAATAGCACAGAAACTGGACAACAAATTGTGATTGTGGAAGCTGGCAGCTATGTGATTCATGAAGAGTGGGATCTGTGTGAAGTTATCAATGATATTGCTTTAATTAAACTACCAACTGATCTGGAGTTCAACCAGTATATTCAACCATCTAAATTGCCTGAACCCAAGAGCCTTCATGCAGACACAAATGCTATTGTCTCCGGTTGGGGCAAAGTAAATGGTTTGTATTAAAGACTAAAAAAAAAAAAAATCCTTCACTTGAATTTAAAATCATTAAATCTTTTTAGATGATGTACTTCCTTCGCATTTGCAATATATGAACGTTAAAACTTTATCAAATAAGGATTGTGAGTCCTTAAAAGATTCAAACAAACAGTTTTATTCACATTGGCTATGCACCGTATCCAATGTGAGTAGTGCATGCTTTGGAGACTCTGGTGGTCCATTAGCAGAAAGAAACGCTGATGGCTCTAGCACTGTGATTGGTATCGCATCGTTTGTATCATCAACTAGCTGCCCTGTTAATTCCCTGAATTTTTTTACTCGAGTTTCATATTTCCTAACCTGGATTGCCCAACATACTAATGAGTCATAAAAAAACTTGACAATATTGAATGTCTGATAAAATTTTATACAAAATAAAAGTGAGCATAACCGTAAATTAATCTTGGTTTTAGTTTAGTTTTTTACACCCTGAATGTCATGTAAATCATTTCGCTTTCTATTCCAGTCCTCATTTTTCCGCTTCTTATCAAAGCCATTCAGTTTTGATAGCGTTAAGGTGAGAAACAGTCAAATTAAGAATGTGAATAACTAATGAGTATTAATTATATAAAGTTAACAGTTTGCCACTATGTGGCAATTGGAAATCGATATTGTTTGCCTAACCCTGACTTTGTGTTGCTCGTGGCTCGCAGACGACATTTCGTTTGGGGTTAACTCAAATTGCTAATACCTGACATGGGAATGTTTTTAACACCTTGAAAAACATGGCAACAATGTAGCCAGAGGAGCAGCAGCAGCAGCAACATCAACAACATCAGCATCAGCCTACAAATGGCAACAGCTACAAGCGGCAATGACTTGGCCAAAAAATATATGCATACACAATCATTGGCAGCACAAATGCAGATGTTGCTGCTGCAGCCCCATCCTCATGCATTTATGCAGCTTGTCGTCGATCTGTGTTGTCCTGCCCTGCCCTGCTCTACCCTGGCGGTTGCCTCTCCTCTGCCACTCGCTCGTTACCCCAAAATGTAATGCGCATATATTTACTCGCCAAGTGTTCGATGACTGTGTGATCGACGTGACTGTCTTGGGTACTGAGGTGTCGGCTAGCGGGTATATTCTTGGCCTTCAGCTGGCAAAAATCAACGCCGACTCCAAATAGCAACCAGCAGGTGTTGCTGCGCTAACAAAAGAGAGAAAAGAGTCAAAGAGCCCAAATTGATTTGTCAATCGTCAGAAATACCGCAAAGTTGCGCACAGCATTTCGCTGGCATTTGAAAGCCATTTGAATACATTTCCCTCGCTATTGCTGTCACTGTCGCTGCCTCTGCCCCTGTCCCTGTCCCTGTCCCTGCCCCTGTTCGTTACCCTGGGCACACATATCGCATCCAGCTCTCGATATATTTTGAGAAAGTATGGCGCATTACATTTTAGTAGACGCTGACGGCAAATGCTGCTGGTTGCTGGTTGCCAGCTGCGAGTTGTCGTTGCCGTTGCCGTTGCTGTTGCTGTTGTTGTTGTCGTTGTCGTTGTCCCTTCGCCAATTTGTTGCTGACACTGCTGACGACTTGGCCTGTAGCCCGACTGGCAGCAGCTGTGGAGCTGAGGCCGGCGACGGGGCTAGAGGCTTGGCCAGGTCTAAACGGGACGGGAGCAGCCAGCGCTTGGCAATGAAGCGCATAAAAACTAATTGATTGGATGCCAAGATGTTAAGCGCATAACGGCAGCAGCAGTTGCACCACAACCAGCAACAGTTGCCGTTGCCGTTGCCGTTGCCGTTGCCGTTGCCGTTGTGCCACGTTTGAGGCGTTGTCAGTGGGTCTCCTGGTCCCGAGCTTGGCTTTTCAGCAACTTTTATTCAATTTAAATGCGCTTGCAGCACCAATGTGTGTGGATAGACCCGCCCAGCACTCGGATTGCCTCGCCGTTGCCTCATCGCCTCCCCTGTGCAGCAGCAACTGTTGCAGCAGTCGCTGCACTGCTCGCTTAAATTAATTATTTTTTATTAACTTTTCGCTTATTGATGACATTTTTCAAATTTTCAGCATTCCCACAATGCTTCCCGCCAACGTCAATGGCAAATTTGTCGCATGCGATTTTTATGCGGATCGTTCGGCATTTTTCTTAGCAGCTGCATATAAAATTTGATGGCAAGTTAATAAAATGATATAGCCTTTGGCTTTATTATTCTGATTCTCCATAACTCTTCATAACATTTCAAATACGTAAAGGACAAATAAGCTCAACTAACTATTAAATATTTGAATGTATGCTCTAAACTATATTGCAGTTCAGATAAAATAAAAGATATYATACAGAATATATAATATAAAACATACAGCAGGGGGCAATTGACTTTCAGACAAGTTAGTTGTCTCTCGCCTAGTCCTACTGCCATATGCTACGATTTTTCAGAAGTGTTAAATATTGCTCAAAATAAAAGCAATTGACCTTAAATGTTAATGTTCATATTTTGTATATATTATATATTCATGATTTTTGTTAAGTTGTTTTATGGCTCACTACTATGTTGAGCGATCCAGGTTAGAAAATATGAAACACGAGTAAAAAATCTCAGGGTATTAATAGGGCAACCCTCTACTCCAAACGATACGATACCAATCACAGTGCTAGAGCCATCAGGGTTTTTTTCTACCAGTGGACCACCAGAGTCTCCAAAACACGTAACACTCTTACTTGGTGCGACGCATAGCCAATGTGAATAAAACTTTTTGTTTGAATCTTTTAAGGACTCACATTGCTTATTGGATATAGTTTTTACGCTCGCATACTGCAAATGCTGAGTAGATGCATGACCTGAAGATATTAAAAACATACTGCACTGTATAGTCAATGATTGCATATGTCAATACAAACCATTTACTAGGCCCCAACCGGAGACAATAGCATTTGTGTCTGCATGAAGGCTCTTGGGTTCTGGCAATTTAGCTGGTTGAATATACTGGTTGAACTCCAGATCAGTTGGTAGTTTGATTAAAGCAATATCATTGATAATTTCACACAGATCCCACTCTTCATGAATCACATAACTGCCAGCTTCCACAATCACAATTTGTTGTCCAGTTTCTGTGCTATTACTTTTATCCACAGCTCCAAGGTAAATTTTAATTCTTTGGCTTTTTTAGCATTATACAAAAATGTAAAGTGTTACAAAGGTCGATTCTTTAACTTAATCAGCATTTACCCACATTTCGCCACGACTCCCATCCAAGCAATGAGCTGCTGTAAGAATCGTCCTCTTACCGATTATAGTTCCACCACACATCGTTCTCCATTGTTTATTTATTTTAATATCGTGTAGTTCCACCACACATCGTTCTCCATTGTTTATTTATTTCAATATCATAAATGACTTGATAAGGAAATTGTTTGGGTCTTGCATTTTCACCATTGATAATGCGTTCCACTTGGCTGGGATTAGATTCCACATTACACAGGCAGAAAAGCACCGCCACAAGGATCAACTGCCATCTATGATGAAGACTTTCCATGGTGAATTGTAAAAGTTATAATGAGATGGTTACGAAGTCGTGGAACTTATATAGCAAAAATTCTTGACAGGTGCAATACATTATGATAAAACTTATGACAGGCAACTTTTGTGTTATTTGTAATAATAAATAATTGCTTCGCAACCATGTTGTTAATGTAATGTAAGTGGATATATTTTAATCTAAAGCAATATAATATAATCGACTTTAAGGAAACAATGTCCTAGCAAGAAATTGCAAACTGTTAACTAATTACATGACTAATACTCATTAGATAGTCTTATTCTAAATAATTTTCATAGCCGAACCCAGCGCTATCGAAACCTTACTTTATTGGGTAGAACAAAATAAGATGAGGCATACAGGCGAACATTCTATTCGAATTACTTCTAATAACTTGCTATATCTTTTGTCTAGTTATCCAATTCAGATCTCATTGAATATATTTATCAGTCGTTCTAGTATTGAGTGTGTACGATATATATTACTGAACTGAAGGCAATACGGATGTTTCTGACCTGAACCTAATGCAACCTAAATTGAATGACTTTCATAAGGACTGCGAGGATGAATCGCTTTATGATTTGTATATTTTGTATCTCACAGTTTACATGATAGGGTTTTAAACATTACTAGAAATAAACAACAATTGACGCACACCTTAAATGTTCATATTCAATTTTATTTTATTTGGTATATAATATTATATAATATTCATGATTGTAAAGATTTCTTATGACTCATTAGTATGCTGAGCGATCCAGTTTACGAAATATGAAACCCGAGTATAAAAATTAGTACGATCAGGAATGCAGTATTGTTCTACATTCACGATACCAATCACAGTGCTAGAGCCATCAGGGTTCCTGTCTATCAGTGAACTACCATGGAGATCATCGCACGGAATAATTTCATTAGCCTCGCTGCATAGCCAATGTGAATAGAACTTCTTAGCTCTTTTTATTAAGCGCTGGCATTGCTCATTTGATAAAGTTTTTACGTTCATATACCGAACAGACGTATAACCTGAATATATTAGAAAGTTATACTGCACTATAGAATTGTTAATTGTTGTGTTCGGTACAAACCATTATGTTCTCTCCAACCGGAGGCAACTGCATTTTTGTTAACATAAAGGTTATCGGGCTTTGGCAGTTTAGCTGGTTGAAAATGCTGGTTGAATTCCAGTTTGTGTGGTAGTTTAATTAAAGCAATGTTATGTTTAATATTACATTGATAGCTTTCATGAACCACATAGCTGTCAGTTCCAAGGACGATAACATGACTAAAGTAAATTCTGATCCTTTCGCTTTTCGGGATCAGAAAGAAATATAAAGTGTTATAATTGTTGATTTGAATTCACCAGTATTTACCTACATTTTGCCAAAATGTATATCGAAGCATTGAGCTGCTGTAAGAATAGTCCTTTCACCGATTATAGTTCCAACGCATTGTGAAAGCAATTGATTATTTGATACAAGATCATAAATGACTTCATGAGGCAATCTTTGCTGCTTTGCGTTTTCACCACTGATAATACGTTCTAGTTGGGCGGCTTTAGGCTCCGCATGACACAGATAGAAAAGTACCGCCACGAGGAGCAACTGCCATCTATGGATAAGACTTCCCATGGTGAAGTTGAAAATTTTTAATGAGGAGTCAAAAAAGTCGCCCAACTTATATAGCAAAAATGCTTGACAGACCCAATACATCATGATAAGAGGTACGAGGGACAACTTATGAGTTATTTGCAATAAAAATTAATAGTAACTTTGCAACAATGTTGCACTAAAACGAAGTCAATTACTTTGAAAAAAGTTCAGGAGAAATGTACTAATATTAATTGGCATATAAGAATTGGAATAACTAATGTTATTGTAACGTTGTTTCTTACCTGGCCCTATAGAATGCCAACTTTTATCAGTCGCGCGAAATCCCACTTTGCTGCACACGCACGACGCCAACAACAACTACAATGGCAGCACTTGCGCATTTATCAAAAGTTATTGCAAATTAATTGCAATCTGCGTGGCGCAATCAACGGCTCAAATCTTGAGGCGATCCCGAGACCCCGTGGCATTTTCGGCTGCAGTCGCTGTTGCTGTTGCTGTTGCTGCTTACCAAAATTTATTGATGCCTTATTAGCTGATAATCACAATCACATATAGCATGATGCAGGCTGAAAGAGTGAGAGACAGAGCGAGTGAGAGTGAGACAGAGAGAGGTGCGTCAGGGAACGGTGAAAAGGTTTTCAACTGGCTCTGGCATATTAAAGTGCATTAAGATAATTGAAATGGCCAATATAAAAATGTTTTCCCTTTTCGATGCCCTTCCGTGGAGCATTATAGCCAAGTCGACAAACATGTAATACCACGACACGATGTAGACACGGTAGACAGTGTGTTGTGTATCTATATATATTGGGGTATAGGGCATAGAATGGTCGGTGTGCCAAAGGGCGTAGTTCCTTTTGGGCTTTTCGGTGTCAAAAACTTGTTTGAAGTGTTGAGTCTCGCGCTTCGGGCCATTTCGGTTGCAGCTCTGCCAGTCAGACTCCACTCAGAGAAATGTTGCATCAATGGAGCTGTTTTCAGCTTTTGATGTTCTTGTTGTTGTTGCTGTTGTTGTTATTTCTCTTTGGCGTATTTCCTGGAATCTGTTGAGGCTGGGGCTCTGCTGAAACGGTTTTTCAATTTTCATATTTCTCATGTCTGAAGTTTTGATTTAGTGATTATGTTCTGGCACACACACACACACACACACACACACACACACACACACACACACACACACACACACATTATGTATATGAGTTATTAAACGACTTTCTTTCGATAAGGCACAAAGGCCTGGCATTTAGGCTTAAGTGTTTGCTCAAGACGCTTTAAGGCGTTGCTCAGTTAACTGAGAATACGAAAGATCCATAAGCAGGACATCTGATTATATTTATTGTGTATGGTATGTGGCTCATTGCGAGCTTTCTTATGCATAAGCCAGGTAACATTTGAATGGGTGGGGCCAGCTCTTACTATTGTCTGTCCGTTTATGACTTGGTAATTGTTTTCTTTTTTGTCTAGCTACTTGGAGTTTGGCGCAATTGACGCGACTCATAAATCAGTGGAAGGGCTGCAAGGCACAGATGCTGACAGTGCTGGCACCAGGAAGTAAAACGCTTTTCCAGGAATTTTTGAGGCGTAGCAACTGTTTGTGACATGTTTTGATTTGTGTCGCCAATGTTTATGAGCTTGTAAGCCACAGAGTCGAAGCCATTTCGACCACTGCAAATGCAGATATGTCGTCGTTGGCCGCTCACCGCTAACGGCCAGCCAGCCAGCCAGCCAGAGAGCCAGCTAGCCATTCATTCAGCCATTCAGCCATGTTGTTATCGATGACATTAATAGCGATTGGAGACTTTCATCAATTACACGGCTTTTGTCCCGACCGCATGGAACATGATGGCCAGAGCTCGGCCTACGCATCGCAGCCAACTCGAGTGGGGCTCAATTGTAAATTATGACAATGCAAATTTGATTTGAAAGCCATGGCATATTGTGGTCTATGATGTAAGCGGCTGATAAAGTCCGAATGCAGGGCGAAACGCCCTGATCAAAGTCATGGCCAAGAGCAGCAGTAACAACAAACGTTTAAGTACGGGTAATTTGGCGAATACCGTTTTGGTTACTCGGATCTCGGATGTCGGATCTTGGATCTTGCCTTTGCCATTTGCCTTGACCACCAGCAACGACGCGTCGCCGGCAATCAAGCCAGCTCTGGCTTCAACTGTGGCTACAGCTGCAGCATAGAGCTCGAGTTGAACTGTATTAACTCTTGTCTGTCTGGGACTGTGACAGTGAGTCGAAGTTGGTACTTGGTACTTGGTACTCGGKGCTCGGTGCTCGGTTGGTGGTGTCCCAAGAGCGCCAACTGTTGCCGCGGCTGCTGTCAGTTGAATCTTCCTGTTTGCACAAACGTCACGTTCGAGTCACGTTTCCAACTGGGGACCCCTCATCAATGGCCGGCACTTAGTTTCAGTTGATGTTTCCCACAAATTTCAGGCCAACGGACTCCCAACGGACGACGGACGATGGGCGATGGGCAATGGGCAATGGGCAACGGTCTCTGGGCGCTGGCGTAACGCAACAATTTYGCAATCACCTGACAATGTGACAGGTAATAGTCGTGTCCACGACACGGCACCTAGACAACATTGCATTTGCATACACATAGGTTTCAGCCGCACTGTGAAGTAATTTCAATGCCACTGCCACTCTGCCAGATACTCCTGCCCCTGAGTGTGCCCCGGCTGGGCTGCATACTGTGATAAGTAATTGCATTGCGTTCCACACGAGTCTCTCGCACACACAATTTGGGGCAGGTCAACGCTATCGCAGAGCTTCATTCATGATTCGGGTTGGAGTCGGTGTTGCAGTTGGAGTTTGAGTCGAAATTGTTGTCCGATCTGTGACCACATAAATTGCCGAGATATTTCGTGGCATTGAATGTTTCTTGTTATTAGAAGTGGCCCATGAGAGGCAATTTGTTGGAGCCGTTAGAGTATGCATATATGTAAATAAGTGTGCAATAAACTAGGCTCACAGCTGAGCTATTGATAGCACGAAGAGACGGAGTTCCTGATATGCTAATCAACAAATTATTTCTGTAGAGGCAGACGCTTGCAATCTCTGGCGACGTTGATGCGGGAGAGCTGCCCACACTTTCGACAAGTATTCGGCAATAGGTTTCTCCTTCAGCCTTTCATCTTTCTTCCGGATCTGCAATGTCAAGTGCTCGGATGGAGCAGAGA